TCTAATGGCGGGGTAAGCAGCCCGGGCCCGCGGGAAGGGACGGCGCGCGCATGCGCCGCCGCGCGGGCCCTAGACTATGTAGCTGGTGAGGTCCAGCAAGTAGGAGGTCACGTCAATGATCTGATCGAGAATACCTGCGCGCGCCGCGCGCCGCGCGCCCCGCTCCGCCTGCTCGCACTGCGGCCCCAGGTACCCCTTCTTGCACAGGCACTTGTTGGGCCTCACGCAGACGCCTCCGTGTCGACAGGCCGGCTCACACTTGGCTGAAAGAAAGCAAGGACCGCTCTGTGTGTGGGAGGTGGGGGGGGGGTCAAGGCCACGCGACGCACAACCGGGGAGGGAGGTTTCAAGCCCCCCAGTATCGCCACGATCATCATCATTCTTTGGGGGGGAGGCACAACTAGACACAGACTGAAAGCCATTTCTAGAGAGATCACGAGAAGCCGGTCTTGCAGAACGGACTCTGAACACACCCATGTCAAGCCTTCGGGGTCCCCCCCTCCCCCAGGCCAGCCCCGAGACCTAGGCAGCCACCGACCGAGGAGGTCGGGCTGGTGTGGGAGGGGCAGAGCATGCGCAGTGCGGGAGGCCTGGCAGCCCCGCACGGAGGAGTCCTGCACGCAGGCTCGGTGGGTGGGGAGGCAGGCCCGGCTGCTCCAGGGGGCCGGGGACCGCGTTGCGTGGCCAGCGCACCGCAGGTCACCCGGCACCGGCCGACGGCACCGGCGGAGAGGGCGGTGCCCATCCCGGCCTTCCCATGTGCCTCCCTCGTACCCCGAGGAGCCCCAGCCCGTCCTTGCAGACATCCATGAGCCCAGCGAGCTGCTACATCGCAAGGTGGACGCAGAGGCATTGCCATGTGTTTTCACACATTAGCAGATAAAACCAAGGACTAAGAGGTGGAGCACTTGCCAAGCAGGGCAAGGCCCAGGGCAAAGCAGTGCTGCCAAACAGTATCAGGGTGTCTGAGGCTTATGCAAGGAAGGAAGGGAGGGAGGGAGGGAGGGAGGGAGGGAGGGAGGGTAGGAAAGAAGAGATTGCCTATATTCTCTTTTAAACTATAGGAGACAAAGACACCATTAGATGTATGAATAAAGGTCTAGCTTGGGTCAAAATGTCCCAGATTGCGTTTATGAGACGGTTTTGGACTATCTCATCCATAAAAAATACTTCAATTAGAAAGAAAATTTCATTGGAAAAAGTACTCTACTAAAATAAACACAAATGTCACCTCAAAGATGTCTATTTTCACTCATCTCTCATATTATTGTTAACGTCTACTAAGATAGGTATATTGCTACCAGTATTAAAAATTATTCACCCTTAGTTTAAACAAACTAAAAGACACTCCGAACTGGTGAACTGGTTATTGGAGATGACACTGCAGTTAGAGGAAGTATAGAAGTTGAACAGAATGGATGACTTAATTACAGAGTGACAGTGAGCAGACACTGCCAGGATCCAAAGAGGCCAAGGGACCATATATTAGCAGACATTTGAATATTCTATTTTGACATTGATACTCATTGTTTGGTCATCTAACAAGAAGGGAAGAGAATAAGTCAATAGGTTGTATTAATTTAAATTAATATAGTAACTTAATTTCTTGGATTTTAAGCAAGCTTCCTCCTAGATCCTACTTATAGTTATTGATTGTATTATGAACAATTTTTGATCAGTTAATGATGTTATGTTAGTAAATTGCCAAATCAAGCTTAAAATATAAATATGTGATTTTATGTTGAATATTTCTGTTAGACAATGTATAAAGTAGACAGGTTGTGGCTACAATTTTGGGAATGAAATGTGCCTGCAGAATAAATAGAGGTATTTATAAGGTAGGACTCCTACTAAATATTAACTTGGAGTTTGAATTCTCATTGGCAGAAGCCACTTCAATGTGTGAAAACAAAAAAGCGGAGAACAAAAACATTACTAATGTTTCTAATACACATGGTTTTTGTTGAATATACATGTCTAACATGGGTATCTTCAGCTCTTAAGTTTCTGAATGTATCCAGTTTTCTTATTTCATACCAAGTACAACTCAGCCAAATGGAGGAAATCTCGAGTTAAAGGATAGAGTGACCCTGAACAAATATGTCTCTTTTGCTGTCTTTCAGCAGCAACACACCTGCTTGACGGTTCATGAGGGAGTGACAAACAGAATTTTTAAATCTCCCAGTACACCTCTAGATAATTGCATTTTCCCTTTTTATTTAGTAACACCCACTGAAAAACAGTGTGTGCATGCGCGCATGCGTGCTTCAGCAAGAAAGCCAGCAGTAAAGCCAGGGAAGGCATTTATGGGGTGTCTGGAAAATGCTAGCACTCGGAGAGGGAGTTGGCAAACACTAAGTCATTGGTTGGTGTGAGGGCTCAGGGCTGAACACCCCATGGAGATGACATAGCTGGGTAGCTGGGCAGCGCTCCCTCTCTCTCTCTCTCTCTCACCTTTTGAAAGACTTCAGTCATTTATAGGTCCTTCATACTCATAATGAGCTCACCTATGTGAACAGCTAACAGTGGGAAACAGGAAAGGTGAGCATGAAGGTAATTGCAAACATCTAAACAGTTTTGCACACTTGAGGACTCTAAAGGAAACACCCGACGCTAAGTTCTTGAGTTCCTCCCGGCAGTCCCACCTTCTGGTCTTTTGAGTGACAGCGGAGATACTGACCGATCCTGCAGAAGTCGCCCTCCCAGCCCGGGCTGCAGCAACACCTGCCCGTGGGGGTGTAGTAGCCATTGCGACAGAGCCGGGAGCACTCGGACGTCAGCGTCTGTGCGGGCTGCACGGGCACTCGGCATTCTTCAGGCATCAATGGTCTGCAGCCGAGACAAGAGAGGGAATTGCACTTTCCTTGTGAGTCAGTATTGGAAGGAAACCCAGTGATTCAGTGTATTTACTGCTTTCAAGAGACCTTTGTTTCAAATGGATCAGTGTGTGTGTGTGTGTCCCGCGCGTGTGTGTGTGCACACGTAGGTACCAGTCCTGGAGCTTGAACTCAGGGCCTGGGTACTGTCCCTGTGCTTTTGTGCTCAAAGCTGGTGCTCTACTACTGAGTCACAGCTCTACTTCCGGCTATTTTTTTAACTTTTGGTAATTAGTGGAGATGATAATCTCACTGATTTTCCTGCCCAAGCAGGCTTCCAATCCCAATTCTCAGATCACAGCCTCCTGAGGAGCTAGGAGTACAAGCATGAACCACAATATAATCCTCCCTCCCTTCCTCCCTCCCTTCCTTCCTTCCTTCCTTCCTTCCTTCCTTCCTTCCTTCCTCCCTTTTTCCCTCCCTCCCTCCCTTCCTTCCCTCCTTCCTTCCTTCCTTCCTTCCTAACTTCCTCTTTCTTTTGGCCAGTTCTTGGGCTTGAACTCAGAGCCTGGGCACTGTCCCTGAGCGTCTTTTGCTCAAGGCTAGCACTCTACCACTTGAGCCACAGCGCCACTTCTGGCTTTTTCTGTGTATGTGCTGCTGAGGAATGAAACTCAGGGCTTTGTACATCCTAGGCAAGCGCTCCACCACTGAGCCACCTTCCCAGCCAATCCTTTCCTTTTGACTGGCAGCTCAATGTTTGAAAGAACCGAAAAATATAAGGCAATGATAACCAAAACAAGCACATGAGACATTCTAAGAAACTCTATAGCAATCAAAATGTATCAAAGATAATTACAGTGGTATTTTATACTTGGAAGGTAGATTTTTTTAAAGCTTCTCTGAAAATGCAATTTACTTGGATATACCAATTAATTTCTCTTGTCACTGGCTTGTGGCAATATCACAAGGCTGATTGCGTTGGTCAAGATAAACCCTTGTAATAAATATACTCAGAATTTAATTATTGTTTTCATCTTAATGCCTTTTTCACAGATAACATTTTTCAAACCCATTTTTCTTGAAAGGTTATTACAGTATTATGCATGGGTATATTTCTATTATTGAAGCAAAAGAACCTCCATGTAAAGAAAGGCCATATATAATATTTTGTGTACATATACATCATTTTATAATATGCATCTTTGTTTATTTTGTGAAGAAAAACAAATCTAATAACAGCCAAGGAAGGCATCTTATTTGCAATATAAGAAAAGGTCATGGACTTTTTCTTAATGACGGAGTTTGATTAGTTAAATCATGTAAATGAATTGTCTCAAAGATTGGAATAAATTAATTTTGCTCAGGCTTCAATCTTGTTAACTTTTGTCATATGTATCAGAATGATCTGACAAAAAGAGTTTGTTTAAGACAGTTTCTCATTCTGTAACCCAGGCTGGCCTTGAACTCCGATGCCACTATCTCAGTGTGTCAGGGCTGGCATTACAGGCCTGTGCTATTATGTGCTGTTTAGGCTTCGTTAAAATTATTCTCCAACCACCATCGGTTACAGAGAAAGCCCTAAGAAGTCTTTTTATGGTTCTTGTTTCTTTATGCCATTCAAGCTGGACCGGGCCGGCTCACAGTCCTCACTGCTCATGACACAATTTTAGAGGAGCGGGGTGGGGAGGTGGGAGGGTGGGGGCAGAGAGGGAGAAGATATGCAGTGGGATTTCCTCAGTCACTGGTCTCTGTGCTGCAGTGAAGGAAGGGAGAGGCCCTTTCGCTATGGAATATACACAGATGTCATCAGTCACGTCACCTGCACTAGGGTAGCTAAAGCAGTTAGGTCCTTAAGAACACAGGTCAGAGCTTGCAATTTACTGTGCAGAAAAGTCAATACATATGTCCTAACAGTCCTAGTTTTCTTGAACTTGGCTGTCTTGTTATATCTCTACGGCAATACGAACAGTAATAATTTCAGGCCTGGCCTCCAGCTGCTTCTACCATGACTCAAAACCATATATATTACAAACAAAAACACTAACTACATAACCACCACTATCTCTTCCCAATGAGAGTCCCACTTGATGTTGAAAGCGCTTATGTTTTGCAACTCCTGTGGCAATTTCTGAAAAATCCATTAGTTTTATTCAACCTCTTGTTTAAATCTGGAAATGGCCAATTTATGTAAAATGTCCTGGAGACCGGACGTCCTCCATTCCGGCACATTAACAAACGTTTTCCATGTGTTCCCTTAGCGAGGCTTTTGGGAAATAAGGGCATGGTTGGGATAAATAAGAGAAAAGTTAAAAGGATTATGCCAAGAAAAGCCAACCCATTGTCCCCCCTGCCTGCTTGCTGTTGTTGACTATCTTATATCCTATGTCTTCTCCACTTTTTTCTCATATTAAATTTGTTTGGCTTGGGACATAATGGTGACATTTCTGACCATGAGAAAAACATCTACGGAAGTCTCTGACTCAGAGGCCATCATCATTTAGTAGGTGACTGACATTCTGTAGAAAGGTCCTGTTCATATTTCACTAGTGGATGAAATGGTAGAATTCTGTGCATCTAATTTCTCTTCATTTATCACTGGTTTACCTACGATGAGGCTATGCATATAAACAATGTGATCCCCTCAAATGTGAATGCAAATACTTGGGGAAAAGAATCTAGTTCTTCTTTTAAGTTAGTCACTAACGTTCCTCATCTATTGTTTGAAACAGAATCACTTCCCTTTCTTTTAGCTGTTACTCTATGGGGCTTCCCTTGAGATGAAGACTCACATGAGAGCTGCAGGCCTTCCCTTGTTTAATTCTGTTTCCCTCTCCGCTCCTGCACTCAAATGAACATTTTCTCAGTGCAGAAGCCATGCACCAAATCATCGTCAAGTCTCTTCATTTAAACAAGATATGAATGAAACAGGGCTCTGATTTCAGAGACAGACATGAAAACACCAGAGGATAGTGCCATGTGGCCTTTGCTAGAAACAGATGTCCAGGAAGCATCATGAGAATACAGATGCAGTAGTAGATGCCGTAGCAATTCGCTTTGAGTCAAGTGAAATGTTACCATTTTATCTACAGTTCAGAATTATAAATGATGATGATAAAATACCTTGGTGGCTTAAATGTTCTCTATTTATATACAGAGGTGACATTAGAAACTAAGAGAATACTGTCAATAAATGTTCACTATATGCATACTTTAGTAACTTTCTTAAAAACCACAAGAATGAATGTTTTCTATCTCCCCAAGACCAACAAAAGTATGTGAGCCATAAAATTCAGTGAGTGAATGAATGAATGAATGAACAGTATGAAATTTTTAAAGGGTAGTTCTTTTTTATGTTGTTAGGTAAGGATATTAGGAGTATAGTCCAGTCAAGGGAAGGAAGGATATCATTAAATTTTAATTGCTATACTTTCAGATTCTTAGCATAAAACTCAAAGTACTTATATATTTCTAATTCTTACAAAATTCTTCGAAGGAATAATTAGAATCGTTTTAAGTGGTGCATTTCATGCTAACTATAATCCTTGTAAGAAAAGGAAAGAAAGGCTAAAATATCAAGGCAGACATGGACTAAAGAGTTGCTTATTTCCTTCTGTAATGAGAATTAAAGTCAATGCCCTTAAATTCACTTTTCATGACAATGATTTTTAGTGATCCCCCACCATTTCTCTCCAGATGTTTGCGATGGTGACATTGTCCTTTCAACTGATAGATAACGGCTTCCTTTACCCATAAATTAAGGAGGAAAGGAGATGAAGCATATGCTTGAGCTTTATTTTTGTTGCTACCTTGAAACAGCCTATCTTAGGAGTACCAGAGTACTACCCAGAGGCACCAGAATACAGCCTGGACAATCATCTAAAGTATGTATCTCTGGAGGTTCATCTCATTTAATGCTTACTTTTGTTGGATTGGAAGTTTGTGCACGGTCTAGTTACATAGTTCTGTTCTTTTGAACAATTACTTTTTAAGCTTTTGGAGCCTCAGCTGTCTGAATGGAGTCAGAAGTAGCTTTCATACTAGCCAGTGTAGACAAGAGGATATATCCAGCCCAGTTGTTGACAGCTCCCCCCCCCCCAGCACTCTAACTTAATTTAAGCCAGAAAAAAATAGTTATTTCTTAATATCCTCAGATGACAATGACACACAGGGGACAGTGTAGAAAACTGCGCAACACTCTTTAATATATAAAGCATTGTTTCCACAGACTGAAGACATTTTCTTAGATGCCTACTTTGGCTGGCTTTGTGTAGGGAGGGAAAGGTTTGGATACTTGTTGAAATAGGAATGTGGGGAAGCACAAGGAATTTATAATACATCGCACGTGATGGCTGTCTGTGACCAGGAGAAGCTGATGAGTGTCTCTGCGTGGGGGGATTAATGGTGGTTCTAATTTAGTCACATTTAATCTAATAACTGAGTAAATAAATCAATACATGAAAGTCCTGGTGAGTATGGGTGAAGTGCTCAGATAAATGCTGCCTGGCAGAATAAGCAATGCAGAAATCCATTTTGGCTTTCACAAAACTTCTGCAGAAGGGTGCATTCTGAGGTGGTTGTTAAGTGTACAACTTGAAATTTATGTCATTGTAAAACAAGATGCATAGACTGTTAAGTAGTACTCCTTTGTAAAATGCTAGCTGGGAGGTGTTAGAAGATGTAACCACCTGTGGCCTTCTTAGTAAGCTCCTTAGGGGGACGATGATGAATGGACTGCCTTCTTCCGTTAGCCATAATCACTGGGTGATGCGTGTCACATGTACAAGGCTATTTTTTCCTCCAGGCTTTCCCTCATCTTCCTAAGTTCAGAAAAAAACAAAAAACCCAGGAAATGTCATCCTCATTGCATTCACTGGGTAGGCCTAGACCTGCAGGGCCCACGGGACAAGGGGAGAGTCTTCAAGAAAACAATAGCATCTACCAGGTGCTGGTGGCTCACATCTGTGAACTACTCCAGAGGCTGAGATCATGGTTCTAAGCCAGCCTGAACAA